AAATTGAGTATAATTTTTTCACTTTAATTTTTTTGCTTTTTTTTAAATATGGTTAATATGGAAATGTTTCGCATGATTTCACATGTATAATTGATACCATATTGTTTGCCTTTTTGTGGGTGGGGGAGGGGTGAGAGGGAGGGAGAGACTGGAACAAAATTTAAAAAGAATGTTAAAAAATAAATAACTAATAAATATATTTTTAAAAATAAAAGTACAGAAGTACTTTTTTTTCAAAGAAGGGCTAAGTGCCTTGCCTGGGGAGTTGGAAAGGGACCCAGGAATCCATCCTAAGACAGCGTCCCCAGCTGCCAAGGTGGCCCTTCCCTCTGATTGAATTCCTCAAAATGGCTCTGTTCCCAGCCAGCTTGCTGAGATAGAAGGTTGGAGTAACTTGATTTGTAGTGTCAGGATTGACTTGGCTTCCTGAGTTCCTGGACCAGGTGTGGATTCTGGTTCGCACGCAGCTTTCCCCCAGTCTGACCCTGCCCTTACACCCTGGCAAATGGTCAACACTCCCTTGATAAGTAGGTACAAAGACTCAGACTATCAATGGAGCTTAATACCAGCCCTCCTGTCTGGGCCTGTCTTTCTGACCTCTACCTGCATTGCAAATTCTTGTCTGGTCTCCCCATGTCTTGTGTCTTTTAGTTTATAAGTCTAAACCATTCTGCTGGGCATTCCAGGCTAATCTGAGCCCATTCAGGCTTATCAACCAATCAGTTAATAAGCATTTACTAAGTGCCTGCTATGCGCCAGGCACTGTGCCAGGTGCTAGTGGCATAAAACCAGAAATGAAACAGTCTCTGCCCTCAAGGAGGTTACATTCTACATTTGAGGATTCTATTCTATTGACAATTCCAGGGATTCTACTGAATCTTCTAGGAGGAACCTTATATCCCTTGGTTCATTTTGGTTTCTCTTGCTAAAATTACCTCCTTTCTCCTCTCTGAATCCTGAGTCCCACCTATCTATCAAAGCCCAGCTCAGCTCCCTCCTCTGCTACAGCAGAGAGAGAGACGTGGACCTGGAATTACAGCAGCAGGCTTAAATCTCAGCTCTGTTACTCGTTGCTTAAGTGTTCCCAGGTAAATTACTTCACCTCTGTAGGCCTCAGTCTTCTTATATATAAAATAAAGGGCTTGTACTAACACATGTGGTGAGCTGGAGCTTGTTCATATGAGCTTGAGAGAGCTGGTCACTAAATTTTCAGCATGAGCATTTACACCTTGTAAATCAGCAAATGCTCCAAATCAGGGTTTGATTTATTATTTTGCAGATTGTCCACACTTAAGGAGGTGAAGTAAAAATTTTAATAATGCAGATTAAACTTAAAAATGTGTCATGCACATATTTTTTCCCCCAATGAGCCAGTGGTTAACCATTTACCAGTACATTCCTATAACCTGTTTTGTGTCATTGATCATTATGGCAGTCTGGTGACACCTATAGGCCCCTCCCTTCTAAGGATAATGTTTTACATGCATAACATAAAACACATAGAATTATAAAACAGACTAATTCTACTGAAACATAATTATCAAAATATTTTTTAAAAAAACAAGTTCACTAACCCCAGGTTAAGGAGTCCGGGACGCAGTGATCTCTCCTTTGCAGCTCTAAATGCTCTAATCTTTCCTGACTACTCCTGATCTAATTAATTTCCTTCTCCTTTGAATTAAGAATCTGAACCAAATAATTTAACCTCTTGATTCCATGGTGTTAGTATTGTTTCCCATTGGATGGTATGTTCCTTGAGGGCAAGGACCATGTCTTCTTTGTTTCTTCATGTATTTAGCACAGGACCAGATACATAATGAGTAACCAACGAAATGCTTATTCATTGAGGCTGATCGACTGCCTCACCTTGGAAGGGCCAAGGCATCTAGGGAGTGGAATAGCAGCCGAGGCCTGACTACGGGAAAGGCACGACCAGTGTTGGGGGAGGAGGAACATGGCCAAGAGGAAGAGCAAGGCATATAGCCAGCTCTGTGGGTGCCCATGGGGAGGCTAGAAACAGTCCCCTCTCCTTGCCTGTTCCAGACCAAACTAACCACTTGGCACAGGAAGTTCAGCCCTACTGGAAGCAGCCTTAAAGCCCCTTTGTGCTGGGGGCTCCATAAGCCCCAATCTGGCCCCTGCCTGTGCTGACTGAACTAGGCATGCTGCTAGTTCTCCGATGCAGGAACAGAATGCCTTCCATGCTGCCTGCTTGAAAAGTGACTTGGCTGGCAGGACAAGAGCAGCCTGATCTCCTCTTCAGCCCTTCCACCCAAAAGATGGCATACAGTAGAGTAGATGTTCCCTGGCAGAAAGGTGATAGTAAAGCTTGTGGCCTGAGCCACAGACTAAGAGCTAAGGATTCTGGGTTCCTTTAACCACCAAAAAGAACACTCAATGTCCAGAATGAAATCTTCAGTTCAAGTTTTTTCTCTGATACTAGCTATATGAACTTGGCCATGAACCTCCCATGAGCCTCAGTTTTCTCATACGTAAAATGGGGGTAAAAAAAAGCTCATATGACCTACTTCCTTGGTTGAGGAAAGCACTCTATACCCCTTAAAGTACTGTAGAAACATGGCATTATCATGTGCAAGGCACTTGCCCTCTGGCTCCTTCAAGAACACCCCTTGGAGGGAATGGGTTATGACAGAGGGGTGGGTGGCATCTTGCTCCCTACAGTAGAAACCCCAGTTCCCTGGAGTATCTGCCCTTCCCTGGGAGGCAGGAAAAAATTTTCCAGGGAGGAAGCAAAGGTGGGGAGAGTTTGAGTCACATAGTAGACCAGTGATAGTATGAGGATTTGAACTCAGTTCCCATTTTTGAACCAGTATTCTACTGTTGGACCATACTGCCTCTCTCTCCTCTCTCTACCCTACAACTGAGTCTCATTCATTGCTGGCTCATTTCCATGGCAACTAGTACCATAACAATTGTTATTAATCAATTCCTGCAGAATGGGGAAAAGTTTTTATCTGATTTGTTGGCTGGGACTAGCCCCTTCTCATCCAACAGGAGAGACTCCCCTTGGAGATACACATTAATCAAGGCCAGGGTATTCCTTCAGCTTGGAGAGAGATAATTGATAGAATATGTGTGGAACTGACGGCAGATGCCAGTGACAAGATGCTTGTTTTTCATTAAGCAATTCTCAAGCAATGGGAGCCCAGTTAGACAGATTCAGCCTCCTGATCCCTAGCTCAAATCAACATCTGGCCTTGGGAGCACTGGGGTCCCTTGCCAAAGATCAATGCAAGCATATAAAGAAGAATTATCAGTGTGGATCATGGAATTTGAAAGGGGTGGGCTCTCTCCTCATCACCATCATCTCCACGACCACCATGCTTACATCATGTTTTACAGTTTACAAAGCACTGTGTTCAGAGCAATCCCATGAGTTAGGTAAGAGGCTACTGCACCAAATTAGACAAGCGGCAATAATATCATGAACCAGAGTGTTGGTAATAGAAATGAAACACATGGGACAGAGACCAAAAGGAAAAACTGAAGAGATTGATTAATTTTAGGGCTCAAAAGACAGGTAAGACTCAAAAATGACTATGAAATGACTCCCAGATCTTTATCTTCAGCCCCATGTTCTCCTCTGATTTCCAGTCTCATATCTCCAACCACCTACTGGACACCTTCATCTGAATGCCCTTTTAGCCTTTCAAATTCAACAAGTCCAAAACAAAACCTGTCTTCTTTCCTCCTAAATCTGTGTTCCGTATGGGAAGACAGGTATACTCATACACTATAGGTGGACCTAAGAATTTATCCAAGCCAGAGGTGGGGAACCTGCAGCCTCAAGGCCACATGTGGCCCTGTAGGTCCTCAACTGCGACCCTTTGAATCCAAACTTTACAGAACAAATCCCCTTAATAAAAGGATTTGTTCTGTAAAATTTGGACTCAGTCAAAAGGCTGCACCCAAGGACCTAGAAGGTCACATGTGGCTTGAGGCTGTAGGTTCTCCACCCCTGGTCCAAGCAATCTGAAAAGCAATTTATCATTATGCTTAAAAAGTAAACTGTCCACACCCTTTGACCCAGAGATCTCACTGCTAAGTATATACCCCAATGAGTTCAAAGAGGGAAAGAAAGATACCAAAATATTCATAGTAGTACTTCTTGTGAGAGCAAAGAACTGGAAACAAAGTAGATGGCCATTGTTTGGGAAAGGGTACGTGTACAAACTACAGTACATGAACCAAGAGTACAGTGAAGCAAAGGAAAGATGTGAAACAAAACAAAAAACAAAGTCAAGTAAGTACCAGAAGGAAAACAGTACACACAGTGATGACAACCAACAAATTGAACACTTTGTAATTAGTAATAGCTAAGCTTGTCCCAGGAGAGTTGAGAAAAGATACCTTCTTCTTTGAAGAGGAAGAGTATTACGTACACTGTCAGACCTAATTGGTTTTGCTGAACTGCCTTCTTTCCTTTTTCTTTTTAAATTTTGCTACAAGGGATGGCTCGTTAGGGAGGAAAGGGGAGGGGACAATGAAATGAAAATGAAATGAATGTTAAAATGAAAGATATTAATAAAAATAAAATTATACATATATACATATACGTATACATATACATACATATATGTGTGTGTATGCATACACACACACACACACAATCTGCATCTCCATCCACTCCCTGTCTCTGCTGGGAATGATGGAAGATGCTTCTCCAACCAATTCTGTGAGTCTCCACTCTTCCCTTCCCTATTTTCCAAATTCATTTCAAATCTTCAGTGGCTTCATTTTCCCTTCAGTACCAAATACAGCCTGGCCTTTCAAGGCCTCCCATAATCTGGCCCAAACCTATCCATCCAACTTTATCCCTTAATCCAACCCCCTCGCTGTAAAGATTGGGAAGCTGAGGCATAGGGAAATAAAGTGGCAGACCTTAGAGAATGTGGGATATGACCTCAGGCTCTCTGACTAGATAGCCGGGGTTCCCAAGTGGGTCTTTGCTCAGGTATTACTTTTGGGATGGTACTTACTGGGGGCCCGGGGTCTCCAGGATCTCCGACTCCACCTGCTGTCCCAGGATGACCCTAGAAAGACAGAGGGGTAGGGGGAATAATTGTGATGAGCTCATAGGAATAATGCTTCTTACTTCAAGCCCTGCCCTCAGCTAACCTAATTAACTACAGCCAAGGTAGCATCAAGGTTATGGGCCAAGAGGCCAGGTCCCTGGGAACCCTAAGCTCTCTCTTCTTTAATGATGGGAAGGATGAATGGAAGGATCTTGAAGCATCCAGTTGAGGTATGAGGAGAAGAAGGCAAAGAGGAGGAGATGGGATGAAAGGAGAATTACCATCCCAGAGCCAACAGTTTAAACAATAAGTATTTATTAAGCATCTACTTTGTAGGTGGAACTATCAGACTGGAGCTCATGGGAGAGACGAAAACAAGAACGAAACAGTCCTTGACTTCAAGGAGCTTACATTCTATTGGATGAGATAACATGTACATATATAGGTGGATAAAAATATTTACAAAATCAATATGAGGTAAATTTGGAAGGTGAGAGCACTAGCAGCTTGGAAGGATCAGGAAAAGGGTCATGCAGAAGGTATTTGAGCAGAAATCTGAAGGAAACTAAGGGGTAGAAGTGAGGTGGGAATGAATACCAAACATGGTGGACCACCATGGAGTGTTATGTGAGAACCAGTAGAAAGATCAGCTTTGCTGGCGCTGAGAATGTAGGAATGAGAGTAATGAACGACAAGGTTGGAAAAGTAGGTTGGGGCCAGGTAGTGCAAGGCTTCAAAAACTAAATGGAGGAACTTCTATTTGATTGTAGTTGCAATAGGGAGCCATTGGAGTTCATAGAGCAGGGCAGTAACATGGTCAGACCTGCACTTTAGAAAAAGAGAGAGTGGGGATAGAGTGAGAGAATGCAGACTTACTCCTTACCATCGACCCCTTGGCTCCAGGAGGACCTGGTGGTCCCATTGCACCTCGGCCACCCTTCAACAAAGGAGAAACATCAATGAGTGTGTAGGAATCAACTGATCAATAAATATGTATTAAGCACCTCATGTACTGGGCATTATGTGAGGCTGAGAGGGTCAAAAACAAAAGGGAAAAGTCTCTGCCCTCAAGGGGCTAACATTCCATCAGGAAAAGATCACTTGCACATAACTAGCAGTATATGAACTAGGCACAAAATAGATACAAGGTGATTTTGAGGGAGGGGAAAGCAGGCTGGGGATCAGAAAGTGGTATTTGAGCTGAGTCTTAAAGGACACAAGGTATTCTCAAAGTTCAAATCCCACCTCAAACACTTACAAATTATGTGACCCTGGGCAAGTCACTTAACCTCTCTCAGCCTCAGTTTCCTCTTCTGTAAAATGGGGATAATAATAGCACCTACCTCACAGAATTGGCATAAGAATCAAGTGTAATTAGAGTTTTGCAAACTTTAAAGTGCTATAAAGATGTTAGTTTATTATTGTTATGGAAATTGCCATACATCTGAATGTCTGCTGTCCTGGGGTTTAATTGCTCCTGTCTATCCAGACATCAGCTTCTCACCTAACCATGTTCGACATCAGCCATCAGCCATAGATGTATCTACTCCAGATTGAGATATGGGCTTGGAATGAGATTACTGGGATAAAGTTCTCATTGATGGCATGGAACAATCTTCCTGCCCAATACCATGTCATCCTTTCCCTCCTTTATAGGACATTTCAAGGTTAACTTTCTCTAGGAAGCCTTGCACAACAAAATTCCCCAATCCCAATCTATCCACACGATCTCTGATGCCTTCCCTCCCTGTTATCATTCAACTGTTTGGATAATGATTACATCCAAGGCCCTTCACAATCTAAATCCAACCCACATGTACCCTGTGCTCCAACCAGCAGGAAACAGCTGTGGGGTAGAAGGATGACACTTGATATGTATTCCTAAGGCCTGGCATTGAATGCTGGATCTGTAGGGTACTTCCTGGGGCACTCTGGGCTAGTAATTTCACCTCATCTATAGAATGGGGATGATAACACTTGAATAATTAATAGCACAAGGTTGTTATGAAGATCAAATAAAATGATATGAATACATCCAGCTCTCCAGTTCTCCTCATTATTATTATTCACTTTTTCCTGAAAATGCACTCTCATACCTTGTTCATGCTATTCCCTTTGCCTGGAATGTTTCCTCTTTCATTTCCTGTTAAAATCCTACTCAAACTTCCGATACTGCCTCTTCCATGAATCTTTCTTGATTACTTCAGCCAGACACGATCATTCCCTCCACAGAATTCTCAAAGCACTGTTTGTATCACTCCTCACTGCAATCTACCTTCTATTGTTACCTGTGTTGCCTTAGACTATAAGCTCTCTGAGAAAAGGTGTGATGGCCTTATTTATTCTCCTAGCTCCCCCAAAGCTTAGCCTAGCACTGTCCTTCAGAGGCTCCAAAATGTTTGCTGAATGACATGCAAACCTAGACAGCGCCAGAATCTCCAGGTGACCCTCTGAAGCCACCTCACACACACAAGTGGGGATTTTCCTTTTGCAGAGATGGTTTTGATTAAGGAACTGCTAATTATATTGTTCCTTCTGATTGCCATTTGATACCATTTGGTTCTGGTTTAAGTTTGGCTTGGGCTGGGTTGGATCTACAGAGGCAGATGTGTCAACAGAAGGCATTTCCTTCCCTTCCAACCCTTCCTATCTCTTTACTCCTCCCCTAACACACTCCACTCTTGCCCCAACTCCCTAGATGCCTGAGCAAGAACTGGATTCTGAGGAGCTGATTGATTGATCAGCTGCTCACAAAAGGCGGTTACACCAAAAAGTTATTTTTAACTGAGCTTTGTGCAGGGTGGTATGCTAGTGTGTAAGAGGTGGACTCTGCCCATTAGGGACATCACAGACTGACCTTGTTTTCAATTAAGCCCATTACAGTCTCAGCATTCACTCTGGGCCCAGGATTCTGACCCTGGGAATAGCTAAGCCTCTGTCTGGATGGCCATCTCTGACATTAGGGACACCTCTCTGGAAGTGGCCCTGCCCTGTGGAGAAGCTTCTGGAATCCATAGAGAACACAGAGCTATTCAAGAACCGAGATCTGTGCCTAGCAGATACTATCCTGGCTGCTGTGACCCCTGGAGAGCCAGGCTGTGTTTACACTGGCAATAGTCCTTAACTGTGTTTGATAGGGAGGTGGGAGCGATAATCTGTAATGTCACTTAACCTCTGTTTGCCTTAGTTTCTTCATCTGTTAAAAGGAGTAATAATAGCACCTAACTCCCAAGGCTATTGAGCGGCTCAGATGGCATAATAATTGTAAAGAGCTTAGTAGTTAGTGCTATATAAATGTTAGCTATTATCATTATTTATTATTATTATTATTAACGTACCACATTCCCAAATAGATTACTGGTGGGCCAAAGTGAAATAAATCCTCTCTCCTCGAGGAATCAGGAAATGGAAATGGGCATCTCTTCTAGCTTTGTACTCAATAAAGTGTTTTCAGATAGAAAGCAAATCCACTCAAGACATACGGATCACACTCCAAATCCATCACCTAATGCACCATGCAGGTAAATGGATGGACTCATCAAAGGAGTCCAGACTGAGGCCCATGTGGCTGTACCACTCTGGTCCTATTAACCAGCCCTCAGGGTTCTGGATGGCCTTGAGCAAGCAGCATGGGCAGGTAAGACAAAGTGAGCAGAGCCCGGATGTGTGGAGGGGAAGCCAGGTGGTCCTGAAGGGAGTCAAAGTTAAGCACCAAAAGGAATGGAAGACAGGAAAGGAATACAAGGCAGCCATGGAGAACACCAGACAATGGTCCTTTGACAGCTTGCTCCCTAGCCCCCAAATGCCAAGTTGCAACTTCTGCCAACAGAGCTTGTTCAGGTCTTTGGATGAGGAACAACAGAGCTAAGAGTAAACTGAGACAGGGTTTTAAATTCCTAAAACAGCAGCTTCCATCACCTTCCCCCACCCCTAAATGTGCTGGGCTCCTTTATTTATTTTTTAAAATACAACCTACCTTCTCTCCGACGATTCCTGGCTCTCCAACCAGACCGATAAATCCCATCAGGCCCTATAAGAAACATTTTTTTTTAAAGCAAGAAAGAAAGTGAATTTGGGGATGTGTTGGACTGTTAAAAGTGGTGCTGGGTTTTTTTCTTTCCCCTGAGGTGAATTCTCCAAGTGTCTCTAGTTTACTGAACAGTAATTATTGGCGGGCAGCAGGACTGCTGGAGACAGGAGGGCTTGTCCCACTCTAGCCTCCCGTGCCCCTGCTGGTTCAGCTTTTTGAGCCAACTGGGGGATGGAGTGTCAGGGTTTCTGTGAGTGGCACACCCTCTGCCTACCCCAAGGATGGGTCCGGGAGGGTGGCCAGCACAGCGGAGTCCTCTAACACAGAGATGTCAAACACAGCAACCTGAGGGGGCCAACACCACTGAGTACTGCCCAGACCAGAGGAAAATATAATTGGAAAATATTTCACAAAATAAATAAAAATACAATAGAACATAGATAATATTAATCTGTGGTTTTCTAAGGGATCCTTACGTAGGGTTTGTTGGCCTCCTTTTCTATTTGAGTTTGATACCACTGTTCTAATACAATTCAGAGAAGAAGGGGAAAAGATAGCCTGAGGAGTTGTCCCATTAGGACTTTGCTCCCATCTTCTGTGTCTCCTTGTTGCTACTAAGTAAGAAACCAAGAACTCTGGTCTGGATGAAGACATGAATGTACACAGCCCAAGCCAAGGAAGCTGATCAAAATCTGGAAATCTGAGGACTTTTACTATCTTTGCAAACCTTTCTTCTTCTCATTATTGAAAGGGAACACATAATAATTGTTGGTGTTCTTTTAAATTTTAACTGCCATGGTAAAATTACTCTGTGTTCTAAGAATGCCTCCCTGGCAGCTTTGGCGGGGAGGTATTGGTTCATCTTCCTTATGGGCAGGGATTCAAAATTTATCCCCATTTTAGGGGGGGGGGAAGGATTGGGACAGAAAGCCTGTGACCCAGAGAGTGTAAGGGACTTGAAAAAAGTCATACAGACAGCCAGCACTAGAAGCTAGGGTATCTGATTCCCTTTCTAGCTGACCCTGCTTTCTCTTTTGAAGGAGAATGCAAGATGAGGTTTGATGGAATTTTGCAAAAAGGGCTTTAGGGGTAGAGAGAATGGGGCGGGGGAGGCGATTCAATTTTCAGCTGATGACTTCTTTTGCAGAATGGGTTTAAAAACATACCAAGAGCTGCTTCTTAATCTACCAAGTTTTGGCAAGAGGTGAGTGATACTGATTTGTGCGCATTTGGAAAAAGAAGTCATCTGCCCTGATACGTTGTACTATTGTACGGTTTTCAACAGATTAATTAGATGAACATTAAATAACCAATCATTCGATTAACTCTTGGGTTTAATGTTCATGATCCAAAGGGAGATTTTAAGAGGGCATAAAATTGCTGCCAAATACAGAAAGAACATTTGACATTCAATGGATATTTGTAAAGTACAGAGCACTTTGCTCTAGGCACTGGGTATGTGTGGGGGTGGGGGAGGGAGACACAAAGTTCTGAAAAGAATTTGTATTTCTCTAGCTTTTCTCTCCTAGAAGTGCAAACTGTTTCACATTAAATTAATTTAATTTAATTCAACACACATTTATCAAATGCCCACTATATGCAAATGGAGTACTGGCCCTGGTTTATCCACTGAATCAGATGGCACTTGATGTAACAGCACGAGGATGAATTAGCAATCCCATCTTCAATGTTAGTGTGCCCCAGGCCAGGTCACATTTATTTCCTTCTATCTGGAACAAAGGCTTTCTAAAACTCTACCCCACTTTAGAAAGCCCAAAACAATTCAGACATCCTCTTCTACCTACTGCCACTTTCAAGCAAGCCAATCGACCCCCCTCAATGCCAAGAAATAGAAGAACAGTGCTGCTGTGGAGGAACCAACACAAAGACCTTGATGTTGGTGGTATTGGCACATGGGGCAGCTAGGTGGCATAGCAGGTAGAGCACTAGGTCTGCAGTCAGGAAGACCTGAGTTCAAATCCAGCCTGAGACACTTACTACCTGTGTAACCCTGGGCAAGCCATTCAGCCCCATCCTGCCTCAGTTTCCTCATCTATAAAATGAGCTGAAGAGGGAAATGGCAGACCACTCCAATATCTCTGTCAAGAAAACCCAAATGAGGTCACAAAGAGTTGGACAAGACTCAACAATAACAACAATCAGCGCACTATTCATTTATGCCAGAAACAAAAGAAGAGACACCATCATACTACAAATAATACAATAAGAGAACATAGAGAAGCTGCCTGGTGTAGTGGCTATGGCAGACTTGCAATGAGGAAGACCTCAGTTCAAATCCTATCTCAGACACTTACTAACTTAGTGATCTTGAGCTAGGAAACCCTGGACATTCATGTCAGCTCTATCACTTACTAGTGGTCTGACTTTGTTACAAATTATTTGTTCTATCAAGTTTCCTCCTCGGAAGAATGAAGTGACTGGACTAGATGCCTTCTGAAGTGTCTTCGCACTCAAACATTCTGCAAATTTATGATGTTCCCTCTGGCCTATCTATATTATTACTAAACTTATACCTCCAAGGAGATCAAAGAAGGAGAGAAAGGACCCATATGCACACACACAAAAATATTCACAGCAGCTTTTTGTAGTAGCAGAGAACTACTAAGTAAGATGGTATCCCATCAAGTAGGGAATGGCTGAACAAATTATGGCATAAGAATATAATGGAGTGCTCTAAGATAGGAAGGAAAGAGACAGTTTTAGGCAAACCTGGAAAGACTTGTTACGAACTGATGCAGAGTAAAGTGGGCAGAACCTGACGAATAATTTCTACAACAAAATTATAAAAACAAACATTTGTTTAAAAGACTTAAGAGTTCCAATCAACACAATGGCCTTTCTTTTAAAAGTCTGATTTCTGGGGGTGCTCTAAAGCACATGATGGGGATGCTTGTGAGAACAAGGCACATGGTCCTGTAGTGTGAGACATTTATAATATGGAAAAAGGGAACATGTTGCTCCTCAAAGAACATTTTTCCTTGCCTGCTCTGGGAAAAAAAAATCTCCCCTGATCCTGAAAGATCTCAATAGCCCAGAGGCTTCTGCTCTGCACTCATGGGACTTCTCCTAAGGTAGGGATGGTTGCTTTCTATCCTTATTCCCAATCATATATTTTTGGAAATGAGTTTTCTGACTGTCCCCTTCCACCCACCTCTGCTAATGACTCCTTGGGACCCTACAGCAAAAGGGTTAACCAAAAAAAGGACCCTCCCTTCAAAAGGGGGCAGATGGTCACTCTGCATGGGGCCCCATCCCAAGAATGCAGATGGAAGCGCATCAAGGAAGCTCTGTGCTAAGGGGCCACTCCCTGCCAGGTTGGCTGAGGAAAAGCAGAATTTCATAGCTACTTTATATTTATGGGTTACTGGGTATTGGATCCCAGACAGGTCATAAACCTCTAACAAGAATTCAAACAGAATCCTAATGAATAGCATTCATACAGTCAGGGCCTCCTGGGGCCAGCCCAGTGGCACGCATGTTGCTAAATACACCAACCCAGAAAACACCTGGAAGGACTAGAAGGGCTGGGGCAGAAATCTCCCAGCCGAGACCACCACTATTGTGTATTCTTCACGTTCTTTCTAAGAACCTGGTTTCAATGACCCTGTTAGCTTCTCCTGCTTAGGGCACAAGCAGGAACAGGAGCAATTCCACTCTAGGTCCTGACCCCTTTGCCATTAATGGATAATAATTAATAATAAATAATTCTCTAACACTGTAAGTTGAAAAGAAGGTGCCAGATCTGCATTTGGTAGAGAAAGTTCCACACCTGGAGGTCCCTCCACTGTTTAGATCACAGGTTCAGTCCAAAAACAAATTACTAGTTTACATTAATGGGGATCTTTAAGGTTTGTAAAGTTCCTTATGTACAGTCTCATTAATCCTGCCAAGCAAGTGTTACAAGCATTATTCCCATTTTTACAGATGAGAAAACCAAGGCTTGGAAATAGAAAGTGGGCAGTAATGTGTAAGAAGACTAGAAAAACAGGAAGGGGACCATAGTGAAGAGCTTTAAATGGCAAACACAGGAATTTGTTTTTGATCCTAGAAGCAATAGGACCTCAACTTTCTCATTTGTAAAATAGGGAGATAGATCTCATGGGTTATTAACCTGGAATCTGTGAACTTTAAAAATATATGTATATATATTTTGGTAACTGTATTTCAGTATAATTGGTTTCCTTTATAGTTTTATTTCATTTTATTCATTTAAAAGTATTATTTTGTGAAGGGCTTCATAGGCTTCACCATATTGTCAAGAAGTCTAAGACACCAGAAAAGGTTAAGCACCTTTGATCTGAATGATCTTTAAGGTCCCTTTGAGCTCTATGTTTATGATCATATGGGATAACAACAGATGATGGGGGAGGGGAAGGAAGGGCAGGGCAATGAAGAACCGTCCTCTCATTTGCACTCCTGCACCCACTTTAAGGGTCCTCTAGTATCAATCAATCAAAAAGCATTCATTAAGTGCCTACTATGTGCCAGGCACTGTGCTAAGCACTGGAGATACAAAAAGAGGCAAAACATAGTTCCTGCCTTCAAGAAGCTCCAGGGTAAACATGAGGAAGCCAGTTGCTCCCCGTTCCCCTGGGAAAGTCAGATAGCCTATTTGTTAGTTCTATGGAACATCATCCATAGCCCTGAAACACTGAGGGGCTGACAGTAGGAGAGGGGGCAGACTGTAGAAAAATCACATGGGACCAGTGGGCCCAGCAACTCAGCGCAGGTTGGCTCTGATTAATAGCATCATTGTTCCAGTCGAAGAATGTGAAATATTTATATATTCAAACACTCGCTCTGAGCAAACACAGTGTGGACAGGGTGAATGGGAGAAGAGGAAGGGGTTGAGGTTGGGCTGATCGGGAGGGGGGCGGCTAAGGAAACCATTCCAAGGCCACCTATGACTCAAGTATCTATTCCCCCTGACCCGTTGGAAAGGAGTTTGGCTATAACTCTATGTTCCTTTGCTGCAGGCGAGATGGATGGGGGAGAAGGGAAGGAAATAGGTTTGTCCATAACTTGTGTTTGCATGACTGCCTCATTTTGGGGGTCTTGACCTTCTCTGCCATCATGCCTCCCCCAAAAAAGACTGTGGGAAATGATGAAATTAGGTATCTCCATGGGATATTCCATGAGATATGACCATTCACAGCCAGACCAAATCAGATTGTCTCCCACTGTCTTACTACATCCAGGTCAAATCTAGCTAAATGGACATCAAGGGCAGTCTTGGAAGAGGGAAAGGAGACCTGGGGCTGGAGGTGGGTGTGTGGAAAGGATCCATGGGAGGGTGCATTGTGGCCAGCTCCAGTCACATCTATGTGAATCACCTAGTGATGACTGGAGGCAAAGTCCTATAGTTGATTGTATGTATGTATATCCCTGCTAAGGAGCTCATAACTTCCCTAAGGCAGCCCCAGGCTATGATTGGACAGCTTTGATCATTAGAAGGATTTGATCATTTGATCATCATCTGCTTCTGTGAAACTTCCACACACTGGTCCTGCTGAGGCTACATAGAGTAAGACTACTTTCCTCCTTCTGTTTGATGAATTCTCCCTCAATTGTCTGAGCTTTGTTCTGAACTAGGAGAAACCCTTAAGCAAACTCCTCATAAAGATATGAGGTGACATCTTCCATCAGAGAAAACATTGAGATAATGAGATATTTCAAATGAGATAATGTATGTGAAAGCACCACAGCTTAACACAGTGTCTGGCACATAGTAGGTACTTAATAAATCCTCGTTGACTGAAATTATATAAATATAAGATAGTTTTCAAGGCAGTGTGGCATGGTTGATAGAGAGTTGGCTTCCAAACCAGGAAGACCTGGGTTCAAGTTCTAAGTCAGGCAAATACTGGTTGTGTGATCCTGGTGCTCTCCTAGTCATGGCCATTCCTTGGTTCAACCCAAGCTGTGGTTAAAGTCTACTCAGAGAAACCGTCATCTCCATCTCAGGCTGCCGTGGATTTTCCATCCAATTGGACCCTGAGTCCTGTCCAAATTTCCTCTACCTACTAGTAGGAAGAATTAAGGGCACCTTTAGTGTCAAGATGTTTGTTCTTTAGTTAACCAAATATTTACTAGGCAAATTCTGATGGCAGAATGTGAAGAGGAATTAAGAAGCCTCTTGATGAGGGTGAAAGAGGAGAGTATAAAAGTTGGCTTGAAGCTTAGCATTAAAAAAATGAAGATCTTGGCAACTGGTCCCATCACTTCCTAGCAAATAAAGGGAGAAGAAATGGAACTAGTGTCAGATTTATATTCTTGGGCTCAAAGATCACTGCAGATGACGACTGTAATCATGAAATTAAAAGTTGCTTGGGCTTGCTCCTTGGAAAGAAAACTGTGGCAAATCTGGACAGCACACTAAAAAGCAGAGACATCATCTTTCTTACAAAGGTCCATATAGTCAGAGCTATGGTCTTTCCAGTAGCAATGTATGGCTGTGAGAGTTGGACTAGGAGGAAAGCTGAGTGCCACAGAATCGATGCTTTCAAACTGTGGTGCTGGAGAAGACTTTTGAGAGTCCCTTGAATAGCAAGGAGATCAGATCAATCAACACTTAAGGAAATTAATTCAGGCTATTCACCAGAAGGTCAAATACTGAAGCTGAAGCTTAAATACTTTGGCCACATAACGAGAAGACATGACTCACTGGAAAAGACCCTGATGGTGGGAAATACTGAAGGCAAAAGGAAAAGGGGATAGCAGAGGATAAGGTAGATAGATGGCATCAAGGAAACAATGAATAAGAACTTAGCCAGACTTTGAGAGCTAGTGGAGAATAGAGGGTGCTGGCGTGCTGTCGTCCATAGGGTCAAGAAGAGTTGGACATCACTGAACAACAATACTAGGCAAATAGGTGATGTAGGGGACAGAGGGTTAGACTTGGAGACAGGAAAATTTGAGTTCAAATCCACTCTCAGGCACTTACTGCTGTATGACCCTGGGGAAGTCATGACCTCTTTTACCCTCAGTTTCCTCCTCTATAAAATGGTGATAACAGCACCTATTTTACAGGGATGTTGTGAGGATCAAATAAGATAATATATATATATATATATATATATATATATATATATATATAAAGCACTTCGCAAACCTTGAAGTGCTATGTACATCACAGTTATTGTTATTGTTATATATTTGTTTCCTGCATGCCTATTACTACTGTGACAATAAAATAAATTCACGGATTTCTTTTTAAAATTTATTCTAGGGGTCAGCTAGGTGGTGCAGTGGATAGAGCACCAGCCCAGGAGTCAGGAAGACCTGAGTTCAAATCTGGCCTCAGACATATAATACTTCCTAGCTGTGTGACTCTGGGCAAGTCATTTAACCCCAATTACCTCACTCAAAAAACAGTTATTCTAATAGGGAAAAAAAAACAAGGTACCTGTAGACCTTCTAAATTCCCAGTTTTCCTCCAGAACATGCTTAAAGAACATTGGAATTATTTCAAAATTTTCAACTGTTCTTTTTCCCTACTCCCAATCCTCCAACCCAACCCTAAATTGAGGCAAAATGGTTACGTGCTACATTGTAGGCCTCCCTCCTCCCTTCTGTGTCCAGGCTTTTCCATTCATGGACAATTTTTCCAGGGCTCCTGGATGTCAGCTTCCAGAGACTCCTTTTCTGTACCGCAGGCCTGAGAATGATGCCTTACAGGGCTTCTCCAGAAGGTTTTGGGTCAAGGAACATGGAAAATAGGTGAGAGTCGGGAAACAAACACAGTTTTTCTCTATCCTGGCTTCATCCAAAGTTAAAGTCTTGCCTAAATATTGTGAGGGCTTCAATCCCTTTACCTTAGAGAGATTTTACTTTTCAGGGGTCAGTGGGCCTAGGTGGGAGTGAGTGAGATAACACAATCTGCATCCAGCCACAACTAGGTCTCTGACATCCCTGGCATGGAGGCAAACATAGTCTGGATAAATGAATCATCACAGATCCTCCTCATAGCCAGTGATTACTTCCTCTTCTACCTAGGCCTTTGCTAGAGCCTCCAACAAAGTCATAGCTACCAGGTGACCAGACTGGACCGCTAGGTATTTTCCAAACTTGATCTGTCATCCCTTGTCTCCACACGTACACACAAGCCATCTCGCAGGCCTGAAATGCTCTCTCTTCTCATCTCTGTCATTCTTAATCCTTGTCTTTCTTCAAGGCTCAGCTCAGTAGCCTCTTCCTTCCCAAAGCCTTCCCTCATCTCAGGCCCCTTCCAACCTTTATCTATAAAAATGCTGATAATGACCTAATTGCTTATGGGGTTGTTGTGAGAATCACATAAGAGAGTGTACGTGAAAGCACCAGCACTTAGTGCCTGGCACATAGCAGGTACTTAATAAATCCTTACTGACTGACATTATATAAATACAGGATATTTTTTAAGGCAATGTAGCATAGTTGATAGAGATCTGGCCTCGAAACCAGGAAGACCTTGGATTCAAGTTCTAAGTTAGATACATCCTGGCTGTAGGACCCTGGGAAAGTCACTTAAACTCTCTGTGCCTCTGGACAGGTTTCTAAGGCTATAGGTTATAGAGAAGGTGCCAACTTGCATTGGCAGAGGGCATTTCCTCAACTGGGAGTTCTGTACACCAATGAAATCACAGGTCTAATTCCTATTCCTGGCCACTATTATTCACCACCAACTAGAATCAGGAGATAAAGGTTAGTCCCAGCTTTTCTATTTATTAGCATTGTAACAGTGGACAAATTACTTCACTTGTATGGGCCTCAGTTTCCTTATCTGTAAATTAGGAATAATATCTATTTTATTGAGCTATTATAGCATAAGGTGGGGGATGTAGATGATGTGCTCTGTTAGCTGTAAAAGTTCTATACTCATGTAAGGTATTATTATTTTCACCAACAATAGCTTCAGCATCCTAATTTAGGGGTCTATTCCTAAAGGGAAACTAAAACCAGCAGTGGAAAGGCCAAAAATGTAACAAAAGAGGAAGAAGAGAAGGGAAAGGACTGGGGAATCTGTATGTTGAATGGATAATCAAGTCCTGAGTCCCTGAGATCTAGCTCAAGGCTGGCTGATGCACTAGTTCAGGGATGGATTTGTTTTATAAAATTTGGATTCAGTCAAAAGGCCACACTTAAGGATCTAGAAGGCCGCAGGTTCCCCACCCTTGCATCAGTTTAAGGGAGTGAAATTAGAAAGAAAGTCAATGACATACCTGCTCACCCATTCTTCCAGGCCGACCTGAATTTCCTGGCTCACCCTGCAATGAGACCAGGAGGAAAGTCACCAGGGGATTGGAGAGAGAAGGCCAACCATTGGTGTCAATAACTAGACTGTGGTCCCCAAGCTCATGTCCATTTCTGATTTATCCAAGGAAAACTCAGATGCAGGGCTCAGGAGAAGTTTTCAGCCAATCACTCCAGAGCTGTGGAATAAGCTGTCTCATCCAAGGGGCTCGATGCTATAAATGGTTCTGCCTCCCAATACTCTGCCATTTTAGACAGTTAGCTTGACCACAGGTCATAACAGAAAGTAGTGTTAGACTGTAGAAGAAAATTTACAGAAGAGCAAGGAACAGAATAGGCCAGAGACAAGGAAACTAAGAGTTGATTGTGTCTAGAGCTAGTAAAGTGGTTCAGTGGATAGAGTGCTGGGCCTGGAGTCAGGAAGATCCGAGTTCAAATCTGGCCTTAGACACTTACTAGTTGCATGATGCTGGGCAAGTTATTTAACCCCTGTTTCCCTCAGTTTTCTAATTGGGGATAATAATAGCACCCACCTAACAGGGTTGTTGTGAGGATTAAGTGAGATAATATCTGTAAACCTCTTAGCAGAATGCCTGGCACACAGTAGGTGTTACACAAATGCTCATTCCCTTCCCAGCAGCTGATTGCCATTTCCAAGAAGCCTCTGGGCTCATTGAAGGAAGGCAAGAATTAAGGGATAGCCTCTAAGTCATAGATGACTGGATTTTAAATTTAGAGCTGAGTTGGACCTTAGCGGTGATCTAGCCCAAACCCTTCATTTTATAGATGAAGAAACTGAGATCCAGAATGGTTAATAAGCTTGCCCAAGATGACACAGGTCTCAGTTCTAGGTCTTCTGACTCTAAAGTCAATATCCTTTCCATCCTACCAGTTCCCACATTGTAATGGGTCTCAGTGCCCCCTTCTACTTGACCTATGACCACGATGACTATGTCTCATGCATATATCCCCACGCATAAGACATGCTAATTCACAGCATGGTCTGACTGACTCCAGAGCCCTGGGCACGAACATTCCACAAGGACATCAGAAATGCCCCTTGGGTCAGCTCCAGTAACCACCTATTTCAGGAATATGAAGATCAACCACTAGCGGGAGGCCACAGCTATCTTCTATGACTCAACCTTCATGGGCATCCTGTGAAGAGAACAGTGCTTGGGAATTAGGAAACTCAGATTTTAGGTCTGGTTTTAACACTTACCATATGACTCCAGGCAACTTAATTCCCCTGTCTAGATCCCCATTTCTGCCTATGTGAAATAAAGGTCTTGGACCAAATGATGTTGAAGGTCCTTTCCAACTATGACATTCTGATGATTTCTCAAACACCCATAAATTACTTTAATTAAAGCCATTATGAATCTGTCATGTGTGAAGTTTTCATCCCTTCTTGGTCTTGCCTGACTGGCTCCTGCAGCCTGGAGATGGAGTGGCTGTTACTTTAAGGCCCAGAGGACATGGAGTGAAAATAAGAAACCTCAACCTCCCTATCCTCCCCCCACCTCCATCATATCCACAAGACCAGTGACATGGAAAGAGGCAAACAGAGAGGGGAAGCCACATGGGTTTGTAAAACAACATGTAATATGCTAAAGGCTCGTCATTCCTTCTGCCACAGAAACCGAGCCAGGATGCATAAAGAAGAAGGGTCCAGGCTTCTGTGGGGCTGCTGACCACAGGTTGTGCCTGGCAAGGAGTTTTCCCGATCCCTTAGGTTTAAAACTAGACTGGGCCAATTGCACTTACAACCCATTCTCGGTATTCCACACAAAATGCATCATTTACATACCCCTCTATCTTCCCCAACAAATCCTTTGTCACAGAGCTCAGGGTACAAGTGTCTCACCATCACAGAGTCCCACTGACATGAAAAGGAGCAGAAAGTAGAGGACAAGGATAGCTCACTACTCATGAGACCTGGTACTTAATGTTGAGGATACTGAGAAAAATCAGACCTGGCTCAGCCACTTACTAGTAGCTATTTGGCTGTAGGAAAACCTGTTGGCATCTCTGGGTCTCAGTTTCTTCAACTGTAAAATGGGAATAATAACCTTTATCTTGCCTGCACTGCAGGGATGTTGTGAGGATTGAATGAAATCAAGGATGTAAAAGAGCTTTATGGCCAAAGAATATAAGATATCAGCCTGAGTTATCATAATCATCACTTTTGTTAATATTATTTATATTTATCCATGGGCAAGCGGGCCAGCACTTGGTTTTACAGGTAGCTCTGTGATACTTGATTTCACCATTGCTCAACCTATCCCCATCATCAGGCCCCTATTCTCCAAGTCCCCATCCCCAGCATCTCTAGTCTTGGTTGGACAGTCGTTTTAAAATCCTCGTTACCTTGGAGCCATCAGGGCCAGGCCTTCCTGGAAATCCTTTCCTGCCAAGTTGACCCTGAAAAACAAAGGTGAGTTGGGAGGAGGACAAAGTCAAGGAAAGAGGCATGAATGAAGCCCCCTGGTTGCTAGGGGTACCTAAGAACAGCCCATGCACATGAAGAGTGATAAGGTTCAGGGAACAGACTCTTCATTTTAAAAAAAATCTATCTATTGATAGCAGGAACTTTAAAAAATGTTTTAAAAATTATTTTTAATATCCATTTTTACAAATTTTGATTTGCAAATTCTCTCTCTCTCTTTAGCCCCTCTCCTACCCACCGAGAAAATAAGCAATATGATACCCATCATCCACGTGAAGTCATGCAAAACCTATTCCATATTAGCCAGAACAGACCCTTAACATGGGCAGTTAACAGAGGACTACCAGGTCATGAAGAGAAGATATTCAAAATAGACTTCTGTTGGTCTTGTAGAGGCACAGTAATATGGTAGAAAGGGCCTTGGATGAGTGCTGATGGGTCCTAGATTTTACTCCCAGTTTGAATATTTGACTTAGTCAAACATTGCTTGGGCAAGCCATTGCACCTCCCATTGCGCCTCAGTTTCCCTATCTATTGGATGGGGATCATAATATTGGCCATCTCTACCCAATAGATTGTTGGGAAGATGAAGAGAAGGGAAACAGATTGAACAAAGCTTTGTCAAAACTAAAACGCGTTAGGGAGAGGGGCTGGATCTCTGATTTAATTGATACAGAGAACTCCTGATGCGCAGGCTTCCTCTACCCTCTGCAGATTGGTACCTCCTCTGCACCTAACAGGCATTGAGTTGTCAGGAATACAGAGAAACTCAATGACTTGCCCAGGGTCACAGAGCCAGTATGCGTAGTAGGTAGGAATAAAAGAGAGCTGGAAAAAATAATAAAAGGCTATTTCAAACTTTAATTGATTTGTGCAATTACTTGTCTGACACAAGGAGCCAGATCATATGACTGGTCAAGGTCTCCTCGAGCCCTAAGATCTCAAGGGATTATTGGCTAGGCCAAGGTAAAAGTTGGTGAACTTGACATCCTGTCATCAGTGACAGTTTTTCTAGCTTTTTCTTGTGCTCTTACACACACTGGCTAAGCTTATTCCTAGGGTATTTGCCTTCCCCTTCCCCCCATACCTAACTTTGATCTATCAAAACCCTACATGGTGTAGTGACTAGGATACTTACCTCTAACCCAGGGGATCCTGGTGGCCCCATTGGTCCTTCATCTCCCTAAAGACCAAGGGACAGAAGAGGAAAAAGAGATGGAGGACACAAAATCAGGGTGCTCTATTAGCTTCACACCAGCACAATGACACAAACTTCCTGAGGCCAGTTTCCTCTTTCCTTTCCCATGGTTACTGAGAAGCCCAATAAGAACAGGCCTACAAAGTACTTGGAGCATCTCTAAAGGGAAGGGTGGCATCCATCAATTTATGTGTTGAACTATTGAGGGGCAACGGGTACCAGCTATTGTGTAGCTTCATCCTGAAGACAATTAACTGGAATTGGAATAAAGAGTAACCCTTTAAAATAGCCCTACGACAGCCCACGGCCCTAGAAAAATAATGAACCTAGAACATTTTGTCTCAGGAGAGCATAACCTTGACACCTTTAGCCTCAGGAGAAAGGACTCACACCATCTGATGCCCCTCCTGGCTTCCATGTTGTAGATTTCTATTGTAGATTGGATTATCTTTTAGTGAGCCTAGGACTAACCCCAATCTAGAGAGAGAACCGTAGACTCCAATGGACTAGAAAGAAGAGCAAACTCTTACTAGAAACATCTAGGTGAATGCTTCTGATAAGTGCCTTTGCAGAGTCAGTGTGTTAGACTCAAGTTCCACAGGCCATATCCGCACCTTTGAAGCTTGTGTGGTCTACCTGGCTACATAACACACACCTAATCCTGGCCAGTTATCTACAAATGGTGCCTATGGTCAAAAGAATGTGGATGACTCAATGCAACACATCCTACCAATGGGAAGGGAGAAAACAGGACAAAACATATAATGCTGAGTAGGTAATAATACTACATAGGTAGTTTCAATGTGAAGGACATTATAACTGATATTTATAAAACCATAAATAAGTACAGGGCAGCTAGATGGCACAGTGGATAGATTGCCAGGCCTGGAGTCAGGAAAACTCATCTTCCTGAGTTCAAATCCTCCCTCAGACACTTCCTAGCTGTGTCACCCTGGGAAAATCACTTAACCCTGTTGACCTCAGTTTCCTCAGCTATAAAATGAGCTGGAGAAGGAAATGGCAGACCACTCCAGTATCTTTACCAAGAAAACCCCAAATGGGGTCACAAAGAGTGGGATACAACTGAACAACAAAAACAAAAAAAGTACAGGCCACTGAGCTAAAAGTTGCAGAATAGACAAAAATACACAAGACAAAATCCCTGCCCTGAGAAGGGGGACTGTATTTGAGAGTATCACCAAGGTCTGAAGAAGGAGAAAGGATACGCTGGAAAATGAACCCCAGATCCCTGTGCACAAGACAGATGTTTTAAACAGCTAAGCCATCAGTACTATTATCAAATGCCAAGATCAGAGGAGAAATCTGCATGATAAAACTAGTGCATTGAGGGTTTCCTTAGGTTTTAAAAAGGTTCTGGAATGTGCTGAACTTCCCCATGAATACTTGGGAAGAGGAATGAATTTGAAGTCAGAGAACTTAACCCAGGCTCCACTACCTACTCCCTACACATTCCTGGGCAAACCATAGCACGGTGCAGTGGAAAGAGCCATTTGGACTGAAAGGACCTGGGTTTGGATCGTGGCTCTGCCACTCACTGCCTGTATGACCCTGGGCAAGTCATTTTATCAGGCTAGTTTCCACAAATATAAAATTAGAAGACTGGATCAAGTAACGTCTAATATCTCTTCTAGCTCTAAATCTGTGATCTTAATCATTCTAGACTTCAGTTACCTTATATGCAAAATGAGGGAGTCTCAGTCATCCTCTGATATCTTAGCTCTCATTCATGTCTAATCCTCTCCTCATACAGAGAGGTACCACCAGCTCTGGGTCACTTATTCCATGCTGCTCCTCATGCACAAGCTTCCAGGAAAACCACACCACAAAATAGCAAAGCAGCCTCTCCCAGAAATGGCTCAAGTGGTTTCAGATCTTGTAAGGCGCTCTGAACCAAGCCAAGGAAAGGGGATCTGTAGCAGCAGGATGTCTGTATGTGGTTGTAGGAAGACAAGATTCTCCCTGACTCCTTAACCCAGTGCTCTGTATCAGGACTCACCCTGGGCCCACATTCAAGAATAGGAAAGGTTCTGGAGAGTGAGAAGACAAAGCAATATAAATGGAAAGACCATCAGATTTGAGTTAGAAGACTTGAGTTTGAATCCTGCCTGTACTAGTCAAAAGTCTTTTTTTCCCTTCTGGGCCTCAGTTTCCCAGAGAAGTCTGGACTCAATCCTAAGATCTTAGATTTAGAGCCAGAAGAGACTTTAAAAGTAATTTAATCCAATTCTTTCATTTTACAAATAAGGAAACTGAGGCCTCAAGAAGTTAAGTGACTTACCTAAGGTCACACAGGTAGTAAATATCAGCCAAGACTTGAACCCAAATCTAATTCCAAATCAAGGGCTTTTTCCACTGCCCAATGCTATGTCCTGTCAAGATGATCTCTAAGATCCTTTTCACTTCCAAATCCTCCAGCCCTTTTAGTCTCTGGAACATCTGCTTAAGATTCATAGACCATAGCAGACTATCCCCCAACAGTCCTCAAGCCAATGGTTTCTTCATTTGCCTGAAAGCTATCTCTTGCTTTCTCTTCTCTATTCTTTCTCACTACTATCATAATTTTCTCACTAAACCAAATCACATTAGGAGTAGAAAGAGAAGAGATTCTCAGAAAAAATGGTAAGAAGGTTCCCTAGTAGGGGTGGAGGGAAAAGATTGAAGAAAATAATAGTATCCATGAACTCTTAGACCTAGAATGGACCTCAGAAGTCCTTTATGACATTCCTGAAAAGTAGTTATCCAGCTTGTTGAAGATCTCCAGGGATGGGGACCTCAAGATATCCTGAGACAGCAGTATTCCCCAAGTCCCTGCTTGGAGACATCCCATCCCCAACCCACCATTATCCACGTGTCTCTAATATGAATACTGAACCCCAGACTATTGGGCTTCTTCCCCAGTGGCTTCCAGGCACAGTGAGGGAAGGATTCCAACCTCCAAATGCCCACAGCCAAGCACGGCCAAGAGCTCAAGTTCAGAGACAGGGAAACATGCCAGGGAGGTGACTCCAGGGAGGGCAGCAGACGGAGCCAGGCTGTCTCACCTCCTGCCCAAGCTCTCCTCTCGGTCCTGGTAAGCCTCGGGCTCCTGGCTTGCCCTGGAGAGAAGAGAAAAGAAAGGGGTCTCAGAAGATCGGAGCCTGTACTCCAAGGGACCATTGACACAGACAAGATGCCTCTAGCCTTCTAGCACATGCTACCACAGGACAGCATCCAACATCAATTCCGCCGTGGAGAAAACTCTTGGAGGGCCCTCAATGCAAACATCCCAAACCCAGGATTGAGCCAGAAGAATCTCCAGCCATTTTCCCCCGCATTTCCACATGCCTCCTCCTCCCAGTTTCCATACCCATCTCCCTCAGCTGTTTCCATCTAAGCACAAAGCTATTATTGGCCACCAACTCACCTTCGCACCTTCTGGACCATTCTGGCCTGGTGGCCCTATATCCCCTGGGAATCCCTACATGGAAGAAGAAAGGCAGAGACCATGCATGCATGACTGACATAGGACACAACAAGCAGGATCTAGGGGGAGGTAATGCCCACTCTAGTCCTCAAACACAGCACAGAACAACATTGAACTCTGGGTTAACCTCAGCCAGGACACATCCCCCTCTTCAAGGCTATTTTGAATTTTGTGTCCCGGGGAGGGGTGGGGGAAGGGGTGGGACACTTGGAGATGCCCTAGATTTCCTCGAATAAGGATTTGGCCATTACATTGCTAATCAGTGGCTGGTGCTCACACACATGTGCTCTTACTGATGAATCAAAGTATTCCCCTCTCTACAGGAAAAGGGAGGGGAAAACTGAAGAGCGATGACATGCCCATCAGCTTCTGTCTGCAGTTAAGCTGAATCCTGTCCACTCCACCCCACTGGTCAAGGACAACTGAAAAACATGCCCTACCATCCCATGGAAACAAAGAGGGATGCAGGAGCCGCTGTTTGGGTTCTTCGGAGAGCCCCAGTCAACAGCCAAATGCCAGGACGCTGATGAAAGGGTAAGGCTTGTCGGCCAGCCTTGGAGAAAAGCTCTCGGGTACTTACAGAGCCTCCTCCTTGGGGACCAATGAAAGAAGATAGGACCATCAAAAAGTGGCTGAATCTGGCATTCTAATGATAGTCCTGTTCCGAGGCCAAAGTCAGCATTGTGATGGATTAAATGTCCCAGCTAGTGGGCCCTGTTTGGATACCAGGTGGATTATGAGGCCAGGTAGGAGATGCTTGCTAAGTCCAGAGTGGGGCAGGGCAGGGCAGGGCAGGGAGCAAGGACATCACTTCCCCTGGACCTGCACCACCCAGCAAAAGGCTACACCTCTCTCCGTAGCCTTCCAAACCCCTTTCTTAATCAGGTATCTCCTGCAGCCGTGAAGGTAAGACTGGAAGACATAGGGACATCCCAGTGCCACAGGAAACATTCCCTTGTCCACAGGGTTCCCCCAAGGCACGGCAATGAGAATCTTTGGAATGATTCAGGAAGCCGACTAGAGCCAAAGACCTTTCGTCCTGCACAGCTAGAGGCCTCACTGAGAGCCAAGTACAGCAGGTCAGGCTGCTGTTGGGCTCAGTGGGTTCCTGAGGCCAGCCCGATTTCAGCTGGGATCTGACTGGGACCAGTCAGGCCTGGGGCTCCCTCTACTGAAAGATCCCTGGCTCTGAGAGCCCTGAGGAGACCAGATCCATTTTTTCCCTCAACTTCCTTCTTTTACTCTCCACAGTCCCCCCAGACCCCCAGCCTACCAAGGTCTCAAGATCCTGATATAACATTATTAAAAAGAGGGAGGAAAAACACCATAATGTTAGACAGGGCTGTCAAATTGTATCAGCTGCATCAAAAAACTACCCAGATAAACTGTATACATGATTACAGGGCTCAGGAGACATTGAAAGAGAGGGGACTTGGAAGTCTCAGGACATAACTCTATATAACTGGCATCTCTGAGCCCAAGTACTGTGTGAATGAGCTGTAAGGATAGCCTTGATCTGATGGAAAGAAGGAAAGACTAGATCTCTTAGCAAGTTCTCTCCAATATAAAATACCAACCCCTCCCTCCCCCAACTTCCAACAGTGCACCTGCCAAACAATGCTCTGGGGACCTCTGGGGGACTCCCCAGCAATTGCCAAAGGTCAGGAGCCCAAGGAGGAAAGCAGTCAGAAAGGCAAAAACAATACCTCACCATCAGAGTTCTAGGGCATAAATAAACCAAGCAGCCACATACCTCAGGGCCTGGAGGCCCAGGAAATCCAACTGGTCCTTTGTCACCAGATTTGCCCTAAGGGGCAGAGAAGACAGGGGGGGAAGAGGTGAGTGCCAGACACACAGTCTCCCCAGGAGCCACAGTCCCCCAGGCTGAGGGTGGGGGATGTTAAGGGGCAAGAGATTTGGAAACAAATGAAGAAGGCTTACTTACTGGGGGGCCTGGCTTTCCTCGAGCACCTGGTGACCCTGACATTCCCTGGCTCCCCTGCAAAGCACAGACCAGTCTGACATTAGGAGAAAGAAGAGAATTTCAAGGAAAACATCATTTGGCTTTGGTGAGTCAATAGCAGGTGCACTCATTCAGGAAATAATAGTAATAACACATTCGTATAGCACTTTGGGGTTGCAGAAGGCTTTACAAACATCGTCGGAAAGAATCTTGTATCCTCAACATTTCACACAATGCCTGGCTCTTAGCAAGCTCTTAAATCCTTGCTGACTGATTGATCCTCACAACAACCCCATGATGTGGGTATGAGTATACTTACTTGATGGATGAAGAAACTGAGGCACAGAAGGGTTATACATTCAATTTAATTAAACACCCGCTATGTCCCACAGCATACCTTGGTGCTGGGTGAAATGCAAAATTCAGATAAGAGTCTCTTCTCTCATGGAACTGACAGTCTGGGAGAGTTGAGGTTTAGAGAGGCCAAGCAATCTGCCTGCCTTGGGTGTCCACTAGGGCAATAACCCACATCTAAATGTGCATATGCCTCTATTGAACCCTAGCTGTCTATATAAGTCAAGCTCAGAGAGAAGGCTGGCACCTGATGCAGGTCACTCTGGTTCTCTTACATGATAGCCCAAGATGGTGACACAAATGCCCTCACCATGAGAGTGCCAATGAGGGAGAGAGGACAAGGTGACCTTCCTTTAGAGAAGCCCGAGAACAGCAGGAATAGCATGGGATGTTGGGTAGATGTCAAGATTAGAAGTCCACCTTTGGCAAAGACTGTCTGGGAGCAATCATTCAAGCTTATTTTCCCAAGAAGCTCAATTGATGTCATTTTACTCCTGGCTTAAATCCAGCAAGAAAGAGTTTCATCAGCTTCCCAGAGATGTTGGGACAGTTGGCAGCAAAAGGTCAGAAAAGCCTATATGGGTAACACAGTACCCTAAAAAAACACAGAGGCCTTGGAATGAAAATAACAGGGTTGTAGTGTTAGCTTTGACACTTACCAGCCATGTGACCTGGGAAGGTCATTTTACTTCTCTGAAATGTAGTTTCTTCATTTTTAAGATGGGGATGATAAATCCTGCCCTATCTATTTCACAGAATTATGGTGAGTAACTGAATCTTCATAGAACTGCAGATTTAGTACTGGAAGGGACTTTAGAGAACATTTAAATCAATTCCCTCATTTTACAGATAAGGAAACTGAGCCCAGAAAGGTGACTTGTCCAAGGTCAAATGGGTAGCAAATAACAGAATGATTAAGGCAGTATGTAAACTGCACACACACACAGAGGGCTATTTTTCAGTATATAGCAAGGAAAGTGTTGGGGAGAAATCTGTAGAGGTTCAGGAGGAGGAAGAGGGATCTAATGGCTGAGAGACTCGTAGCTGCTGTCCCTGACTTTGAACACGTCATCTCACTTTACTGAGCTTTACTGTCTTGATCCATTACCAGGGTTAAAATGCTTGATGGGGATGCCAGGAATGTTCACAACTTTATCTGGTAGAAATGGCATCCCCAGACTCTGTGCCCCTTGGATACAAAGCGTTGCTGCTGTTACCTATGGAACACCCTGCTTGTAACTCACAGCACTGTCCTTTTCCTCCCAAAGGGGGTGGTTTATAGACAGGAAGTTACCACGCCAGAGCTCAGCATTCCACTCTGGGAAGTGTCATTGGTCTCCAGAGCCCAAGGGGAATTGTGAGGCTGAAAGGCAAACAGCTCAGAGGTTTGAGGCACATTATCTAGGAGGGGAAGGAAGCCGAGTTGGGCATGAGCAGGAGGACGAAGAGCGGAAATTAGATGCAGTTACCTTATCTCCTTGGAATCCGATATCTCCGGGCACACCAGGCAGCCCTTGATCGCCCTGAATACACATCAGCAAAGACAGTTACAATACACCCCAGCTATGGCAAACTCCCATCCCCCCAACCCTCATCCCACCACCAGCCTTCGTCAGGAGAGGGCTGGCAGGCAGGCCATGATGGAGGAGAGAAGGATGGCTCCCAGGCCCCACAACCTGGGGTCACAGAGGGCCTGGGCCAAACAAGGGCCAAAGAGACTTATTCTAGGATTCACACTAAAGACAAAGTAAATGAACTTTGAAAGTCCTGCTGCAGCTATATTTGGCCCATTGGCCTGGCTGGGGCTGTGCTCAACTGGAGAGTTCCTAATACAGAAATACCTCACAATGGATCATTAGAGTATAGATCATTATCTAGTGCAACTATCTCATTAAAGTCAGGCCCAGAATAGCTAAGTGAGTTACCCAATGTCACACGTTAGGTAGAAGAAGCAAGATTCAAACCCAGGTCTCCTGGTTCCAAATCCAGTCTTCTATACCACACTGCCCTCCCAAGCCTAGAACAAATAGGACCTGTGTATAGTTAATAAAAATAAAATTTCACAAGGGCTCAGAGAGGTTATCTGTGCTAACAGAGAATGGGATGATCTAGTAATTGCTAATGAGATGTGACTCTACAAGTATGGAGACTGACTTTTTTTTTTTAACAAAAAGATTTGGACTTGGAATTTCAGAATGGGAAGGGACCTTCAGAAACCATCTAGTCTAACCTATATTGTTTTCATCCAAAGGGTACTGGCCCCACAGTATGGCCCTACGCTTATTCTGACAATGTTCTCATTGCTAAAACCAAGTATGAATTTCCCTTGTAAACTACCTTTGGCTACATTTTATAAGCCAGAAAAATCACTCTCTTTACTTTGTAATTTACTGTAATCAGGCCAAGAAGGGAAATGTGCATATTTGTACACGTGTGTATATGTTGATCTATCAATCAATAAACAATTTTTTAAGCACCTATTATGCGCCAGGCACTGTAAGCTTTGAGGATACAAAAAATAAGCAAAAGACAGTCCCTGTCCTCAAGAAGTTTCCAATCTAATGGCAGAGACAACATACAAACAAATATATACAAAGCAAGCTATAAACAGGATAAATAGGAGGCAATTAACAGATGGAAGGGGTTAGTAGGGTAAGTGTATGTGAGGACATTCCAGAGACAAAGCAGTGTGTTATGCTTCCAGTATTGGCCAGAAAATCAGACTCATTACTTTATTTCTGAGAAGCACAGCAAATAGAGAGCTAGCCTCAAAGCCAGAAAGAGCTGGGTTCAAGTCCTGCTTCTGGTGTGTTTGCCAAAAAAATCCCAAACGAGGTCACAAAGCGTTGGATATGATCGAAACAACTGAACATCAACTACAACAACAAGGACTAAAACCCTCCTCCCTGTTTTACAGTTGAGGAAATTGAGGTCAGAGAGATTTGGTAATTGGTCTGAGGTCATATTAGGACGTGGTAGGGTCAGGATTTGAACCCAGCTCCTCTGACTAAAATCCAGAACGTTTTCCAATGCATGGTGCTGCCTCCCATGATAGGCAGACATTTGAAGAACTTTAGAGACTGACCTAGTTCATCTCCTTTATCCCACCCCTCCAAAATGTGGAAACAGGCCCAGAGATGCAAAGGTCACCCAGTGAGATAATGGTGGAGCCAGGCCTAGAACACACACTCCTAGGATAGCATTCTTTCTATTACTCAGGCGATCTCCCCTCATCAGGAACCAGAGTGGGCTGTAATGCAATAACACCCTTGGGGCCTACTGAGATGTGTGGTACAGTCTGCCCCTGATGGCCCCAGCTCCCATGCTTTCTAAATCCTAGTGTTGCTTTTTCAAGTTGTTATCTTCTCCCTCACGGACCAGCTGCCGTTGTCACTTCCTGTCTGCTATCAGGACCCCTGACTCCAGTAGAACTTCCATAGTGTGGTGGCAAGAAAACAGGGTTTAGGTGTTAGAAGCCCTGGCTTAGGATCCTGAATCAGTTTTCTCATCTGTAAAATAGGGGAATGAATTGGACCTGATCTCTTAGGTCCCTTCCAGCTATAAATCCTGTGCCTTCCAAATAGAAATCCCGGGCAGGAGGGAGAAGGTTCCACTCAGTTGGATTAGCTCCTCAGTAGGTTATACAGGGTCCCTTTCTTCCCCTCCACTCTCATATGCCATGCCACCTTGGTGGCAGGCAGGTCAAGTAACTGGAAGGTGAAGGTACCTCTGGGAGTAAGTATGTGCTTGACTTCATTCCAAAGCCACTGAAGTGTACCTGTGTCTAGTCCAGGGGTTCTCACCTTTTGAATGTGTGTCCTGGACCCCTCTGACCATCTTGTGAAGCCTATGGACTCCTACTCAGAATATTGTTTTTAAATGTATACTCCCAAAAAATACATAGCATTACAAAGAAAACCAAAAGTTAGCAAAAACAAAGATGTGGGTTTTTTTTCCCCCATCTGAAGTCATGGGTTTCCTGGAATCTAACCATAGACGCCTGGGGGTCTGGAGACACCAAGCAAAGAACTCCTGCTCTGTCACTATCTTTCTTCCTTCTAATCTGCTCCTATGAATAGGTTGGATGAATACTGGAGATGGGTAAAAGAAAAGGAAACCAGGTCTGTGTTAAAGGCCTGAGGGGCTCTCTTGGCTGGAAAGTGCATGACTTCATTCATGAACATTGTGACATCTCGCCTGGCTGCTCAAAGGCATTTAAAAAAATTTTTTTTCCCTAGCTCTTTCTTAAGTTCCATATAGGTGAGGTCTCTGGAAAATGACCTCCAGATACATGAGGTATTTTGATACCTGACCTAAAAGAACCACCCTCAGGCTTGCCCCTTCTCTCAAAAGCCACTCCTCTATCTCACTTTTGCCCTTTCCAAAAGGTTGGATTGGTCTGAAAGTCAGATAACCAAGATTGCACTGGACAAAGGAGATTTGGGAAAACAAATTCCTGTGGTCTTCTGGTTCCTGGAGGGTGTCTCATGCAGCCTAGGCATTCTTAGGCCTATCAAGGGGTTGAGTTTTGGTCCACCATGAGCCCAGAAAGTCAAGTAAAGTATGGGGCAGCTCCATAGGGGTGATGGAGTTGGTGTCAAATTACTAAGACCATGGCCCTGTAGAAGAACTCTGCTACCGATAAAGAAGCCAGGCCTTTAAAAAAATTCTTTTTCCAATTTGGAAACTCCTATGTAGATTCCCATGTCCTGGTAGCCAAAGAGCCTTTTTTAGTCCAAATGTGAAATGGGCTAAGAAAAAAAAATATTAAAGCGACCCAAGAAGTCAGGAAAATAGATTTAAAAGGTTGTTTAATTCAAACGGGAATTTTTGTTCCAGTGCTTAGCTCCAAGCCAGGAGGCACAGAAAACCAAGTGGTTGTAAGTAGGAACCTACCCAACAGAGGTCATGGAAAACCAGGGCTTCTGTATAGGACTGGCCACTGGGATAAAAAGAAACTGCTTTTTTTTTTTCATTGGAAAAAGCCAAAGAGACTTCTAAAAGGTTCTGCCTTATGGTGGGAATCTGAATATACCTGAATCACAGAAGAAACAACTCATAAGATCATAGAACTAGAGAGAGAAAGGACCTCAGAGAGGTTATCTCATGTAATATTCTCATTTTACAGATGAGGAAACTGAGGCCAAGGGAGGTTAAATGGTTTGGCCAAGGTGGGCTCTGAACCCAGGTCCTCTTTCTCTACAGCAGGGCTTATTAACCTGGAGTCTGTAGAACTTTAAAAAAAAATTTTTTTTGACAACTGTATTTCAATGTGATTATTTCCTTTGTAATTCTATGCATTTTTATTTTATTTAAATTACTAAAAAACATTTTTCTGAGAAGTTCATAGATTTCACCAGATGGTCAAAGGAGACCACAACACAAAAAATGGTTAAAATTGTTCATTTCTGCTCCAAAATGCTCCGAAGCCACTGTACCAAGCTGTTTCTTTCGGAGCAGGAGAAATATTTCAGAAAAGTGAAAACCAGAGGAGAAAAAATGGAAAATTCAAAACAGAGGAATTAGGGGGTTGTCATCCCCCCAAAAAAATCACACAAGAAAAAATATTTGCACATTTTTTTTAACATTTTCTCCTAGGTTTTCACATTTCTAAGTGAACCACACTCAAAAATGTTAGTTGCAGACCATGTTATACATTATACGGTTTCCTGTTCTTGAATTAACAATGTGTCTTCAGTTCTGTAAAGGGCTACCCTCTCCCACTGCTGCCCATGACACAGTGCTGACAGGGAGAAGGCTGGGGGAAGTCTAGGCTCTAGGAGGAAAGCAAAGGAGGAGGAGGAGAAAGTATAGAGGACACACACCAGCAATGAGGATAGTGAGGTTTCCAGTAGGGAATATCTGGAGTAGTAGTTCACATGCAGAATAAAATACAGTGCAATAAGGGAGTATTCAGATCACCTTATCACCTTTCAGTCCGTGTTCTCCGATGTTTCCCATAAGCCCCTGCAAGACAGAAACCCTGTCTAAGTGCCAAGCTCCAGAAAAAGCTTCCTAAGACATTTTGGAGTTGAAAAGGGTTTCATGAATCATCTAGTCCAACACCCTCATTTTACAAGGGGAGAAACTGAGCACTGGACAAGTCAAATGACTTGCGCAGGGTTACAGCATCAGTCAGGAACAGAGTTGGAACTAGAACCCAGATGTCTTCATTCCTGTTCTTCCCACTACCTCACTGAGCATCTCAGCAAGCATCAGAGGAGGCCAGATCTAGAGCCAGATGGCTTAAAGGCCATCTTGTCCAACCTCTTCATTGACAGATGAGGACACAGGCGCTCAGTGTGCTTAAGTGGCAAAACAGGTAATAAGGTGGAAAGTGACACACAGGTATTTTGAACTCAGGTCCTCTGACTCCAGTGAGAGCTCTTTCTGCTGTACCATATGGCTACCACCTTCCTGATTCATGAAGCTAATCCAGCAATTCCCACCAGTGTCTCTGATCCCATCACAACATCACAACACAACCAGAGAAGAAACCTGGATTGCAATACCCCTTAAAGGGCAAGACTGTGCACAAACTCTTCTCCCTCAGTTTCACACTTTATTTTATCTCTCCACCCCCACCCCCTTCAAGGGGAGCTTTTGACATCTTGAAATTTATAGCATCAATGGCCAGACATGCCACGTCCTGCTAGAGGACACAGCAGGTTCAGTGGCTCACTTACCTTCATTCCCTTGGGTCCTGGGTAGCCAATTGGACCAATAACTCCCATGTCACCCTAGGAAGAGGGGAAATAAAAAGACACTTGAAGTATTAAGGGAACAGCTAGAGCTTCACAGCCAAAGTATTGTAAAAGGCTTTACTCGATTGACCTATGCCCTAGAGGAGGTTTTCGTCTATTAACCTACACCAATCCAGAGCTTTCTCAGAATTAGAGACCTTCAAGGAACAGTGTTCATTATTCAGTCCAAGATTCTTCTGGGCTTTCAACAAAAGTTTGCCTGCACCCAATTTCCCCTCTCCTCCTGCCCCATAGAGAATTTCTTTCCTTTGGTGCTTCCAGACGCCTTAAGACTAGAAAAGGCAAACAGGTGGGAAATAGAAATAGCATTGAGTTTGGACTTAGGGCACCTGGCTTTGAATTCTGACCCAGCATTAATACTATTTACTGGTTGTGTGATCTTGAGCACATCTCTTCTGTGTGGGCTTGGGTTTCCAATATGTTGGATTGGATTATTCCTTCCAGTTCTAAATCCTATGCTAATTTCTGTGAGTCAGTCTTTAAAAAGCTCTTCCCAAAAGCTTTATGACCACAGAAGGGGCAAGTGGGCTGGCAATGGGGACATAACCTCCCTAATCAAATTCCCTATGGCTTCCCCTCCTACCAAAGGGAGATAGATGGACATCCTTCCTCGGCTATGGCAAAGGAGAGTAAATAAAAGGAACTTGGTCAGCTATTTGCCAAAGACAAAGTGGAAAACTGGAGCAGAAGTCATTTGAAAGGAGTAATGGATTCACCAGGTCCCCCAGGCTTGGAAATACACCCTCAAGTTCCTCTGACAAGCTGCTTGGAAATGTCTCAGAGGGAAGGAGTAGGAGGAAAAATAAAGAATGACACTCTATTCTATGATCCACTGGTTCCAGCCAATGGGAACCTACAGCTGTGGAATGCCTCAAGGGAGAGAGAATGAGTGGAGCTCCATGAGTTTGGAGATGAGAGCTTGGAAAACTCTAAGACAGAGGTTCCTCAGTTGACTTTCTTTCCTCCCTAACTCATGCCTGTCCATCCCCAGTGCAAGACTAGGAGTCAGCAGACTCGAGTTCTACCCTGGACTCTGCCATTAATTCATTCTATCAGCCTGGCCGAGTCAAGTCCCCTTTCTGGGTCTCAGGTTCTTCATCTATAAAATGAGGACTTAGATCAAGCGTTCTTAATCTGGGGGTCAGTAAACTTAAAACAATTTTTTTTGATAACTGTATTTCAGTATAGTTTCCTTTGTAACATTATGTATTTTATGCACTTAAAAACATTATTTTGAAAAGTCCGTAGGCTTCACCAGACTGCCAGAAGAGTTCATGACATACACTAAAAAAGGCCAAAAACCCCTAAACTGGATGAACTTGAAAATCTAAAAAGAGTGCTAGGATCTACTTCTTCCAAGACATCTGGCTCAGTTATATCATTTCTGTGAGATGTCTGAATTCCAGACCCTTGGTGACCATATGAGGCATCCCTCATGGACCTGACATTAGCCTTGGCATGGAAAGGTGCCACTGAGAAGTGAAAAAGCTGGCAGCTTGGATCGAATGGCACTGTTCCCTCAGCGGGTATGGCTTTACCTCTGGTCCTAGGTCTGACATGACAGATATCACAGAAGGGATCTGAATTTTCCAGCCCTGGGCCTCTTGCTGGATCTCATTCCAGCTGAGCTACCCATCCCCATTCTCTCCCTCCCACCAATCAACCCCTGTCAAGCTGGTTCAGCCAAGACAAGAACAGAGAAAGCAAACAGACTGTAAAGGCTGACTCACTCCCCACCCCAACTACAAGACAGGGGCCTTCTTTGGGGGTGGACTTAGACAGCCTCAAACAGAAGACTTCAGTCACTGGGACCCACCTCTGTGCCCCAGTTTTCCAAAAGAGCAAAGATTTGACCTATCCTTTCCAAATCTCAGGTCATCTCAAAAAGTCCATTCCAAAATGGTACATTCTTTGAATCTACTTTCTACCTGCTTTGCTATTAGCTCACCACTTAAGTGGTAAAATTTGGCCAGAACGAGGTAGGTCAGGGACCAGAGTCCTTCCCCCCATTAACGCAGTGTGCCATAACTTTCTTCATCTGTTGGTTGGGTGGAGCTTCTTCTCAAGTCAGCCAGAGTCAGTTTGGATGTCCAAGAAAAAAAAGAACATAGCCCATTGATAAGGATTCATATCCATATAACTTGGCTTCCTCCAGTCCCACAACAGCCACAGAAGAATTCCCTTCCCACCTTGAGTTAGGGGTATATAATGCTGGCTCAGGTCTGGGACCTCAGGCTCTTTCTCTTGTACTCACTCTTCCCCTTTTCCTGGAAGTTAGCTTCTGGTGGGGCAAATGCTCTGTTAGAGCTCACTGACTCCTCAGGAATGAATGGATGAACAACTTTATTTTAAGTGACTCCTGGGGACAGGACTGAGAGCAGGATCTTATTGACTCCAGAATTATGAGGATCAAAGATCCAACATTCATGGTTAGTCTCTGCCTGAGAGAAGAAGATGGGGTGTGCCAGGCAAGAACTCATGAGGCATGTGGCTTTTGGGTTGATTCACTGTACCCTGCAATCATGCTCACTGCAAGAGGCAGCACCAGGAGGCTGCTAGACCTCAGACGCTAGCTCTGGTGACACTGAGCAACTCACTTCACTTTCTTGGCTTCCATCTCCTCATCTGCGAGATAAGGGCATTGGACTTAATGACCCCTAAGGCAACTTTACAACTCCAAATCTATGATCCTATGATCTTGAGTAAGTCATTCCTCCCTCTGGGCCTCAGTTTCTCAATTGGTAAGAAGAGAGAATTGAATTAGATGATCTGGAAGGTCCCTTCCTGCTCTAGCATTCTAAGACTCTAAGGGCTGAACCAGGAACCCTCAAGAACGTAAGCTCCTTTTTTTCAGAGATCCTGGTTTTTAAAGGCCCCCAGATCACTAATTGCTGGGAAAGCCTGCAATTGATTGAACCTCAGCTAGTTGCTGAGGTATCTTCCCTTCAGGAATCTGAGGCCTCAGTTTAAAAAACGAGAACCTGGGTGGAGGAGAGGGATAAAACACAGGGGTGTTGGCCATGTGGCAAAGCAAGGGTGGGAGGAAAACCTTTCAGAGGTTCGCATTTTAACAGGCCCCTGTTGCTTGTGTTGGCTCTTTCTTCATAAAGGGAGCCAGTGATGGAGGACCCAGCCTCTCCTGTGGTGTGTAAATAAACAGTGCTGGGTGGACTGAAGGAACATTGCCTTCACCAGAGGCCGTGTGGTTGGTTGCAAGCAACTGACAAATCCTGAACCAGGAGCCTTCAAGAACACAGGCCCCCTTCTTCAGAGCTCTGGGCATGAAGGCTTCTTACGTGGATGCTATAAACTTCAACGCCATGCCTGTCCAGCTCAGGGTCAGCACAAGGGACTCCAGAGACATCTGATTCAGAGAGCAGCACTTCTGAGATACAGCCTCTACCTTGGGAGGCCTCAAAATGGCATCAGAGGTCCCACAGGGCCACAAGCCCTGAAGGGGGGATGACAGCAAAGAAACTCTATAGGAGGAGGTGATTTGCTATTGAATTCAGAGCTTTAACTGAGAACTCTCTCAGTCACGACATTCATGAGTTCATGTTGGGGGGGGTGCTGAGTAAAGGACAGCCAACTTGTTTAGGGTAAATCTCTCTAAGTAGGCTTTTTTTCCCCTCTTGAATATTTGTTGAATTCAATGGTATGTGTATGTGTGTGTGTGTGTGTGTGTGTGTGTGTAGATATAACATATGTGTGTGTATATATACATATATATAAATCAAAATTAAAGATAAATTGATGGCAGCATAGTATAGTGGATAGAGAGAAGTCCTTGAAGCCAAGAAGACCTGAGCTCAAATTTGGTTTCAAATACATACTGGCTATTGATGCTGGGCAGCTAGGTGGTGCCGTGAATAGAGTGCCAGGCCTGAAATTAGGAAGACACATCTTCCTAAGTTCAAATCTGGCTTTATGTCTATCTGTGTGACCCTGGAAAAGTCACTTAATCCTGTTTGCCTCAGTTTCCTCATCTGTCAAATGAGCTGAGGAGGGAAATGGCAAACCGCTCCAGTATCTTTGCCAAGAAAACCCTAAATGGGGTCATGAAGAGGCAGACGCAACTGAACAACAAATGTCACTTAACCTTTCAGTTCTCTAGGTAACTCTACGACCATAAGTAGTACTGGTAAGGAGCATTCTCTATACTAATGAAACCACAGATCTAGTCCCTCTCCCTATATATCAGAATTAAAGATAAATAGAGGTTGGGGCAGCTAGGTGGTGCAGTGGATACAGCTCCGCCCCTGGAGTCAGGAGGACCTGAGTTCAATCTGGCCTCAGACACTTGACACTAGCTGTGTGACCCTGGGTAAGTCACTTAACCCTGATTGCCTCACCAAAAAGGAAAAAAAAAAGACAAATAGAGGTTAATGTCTAAAACATGGAAAAAAACAATTAGCAAAATCATTAATTGATATTTCTTTTGTACTTCTTTTGTCAACTCTAACCATTTGCCAAAACCAAGGTCTGCTGGCTTCACTACATAATGAGTTTAAACGGAATGCATTTTCTTTTTCTCTTCTTTTTTTTCCTTTTTTGGTGAGGCAATTGGGGTTGAGTGACTTGCCCAAAGTCACACAGCTAGTGAGTGTTATATGTCTGAAATCGAATTTGAACTCAGGTCCTCCTGACTTCAGGGCCAGTGCTCTATCCACTGCGCCACCTATCTGCCCCCTGGAATACATTTTCAATTTCACAGTGGGGACCTAGGATAAGTCCATACTTTCCAGAAGGCTACTGGCCATCAGGATGCAGCTTCTTCCTTAGGCTAATAAACATTTCTTTTTTCACAACAGATACAGATTTGCTTTTTTGCCAATCAGTCCTAAGGCATGGAAGGTTATCTTGTTATTTAACCTACCCAGACAACACTATTGTGCCTTGAGGCACAGACAGACTTCAGATAACAGCTTCCCTATAGCTTCCTCAGGACTGGTCTTTGAAAGAGGCAAGGTCACTTG